AATATATATTAAATTATAAGAAGATTTCTTAAGTTACTTTTTAGCTGATTAGTAATTTAATAAATACACATCACTATCTTTAGTTATTCATCTTATCTCTCCCATCTGATTTAAAATATGTATTGAGCATATAAAAAAATATAATATATTTGAAACTCAAGTAAAATGGTGACAATATCTAACGTTAATAATATTAATATATATTAATAAATTAAATATATGCATTACTAATTTATGCACTCTTGAAATTTTAAATACTCTTATCTGATTATACCAATTTACTTTATCTTCTCCTTTATCATTGGTGCTTATTATATTTATTTTTACTAATATATTGGTATAATAAAACTATATTATAAAAATAACAAATATAATAAGTATTAAAAGATATTATCAAAAACAAAGAAATAAAAGTTATATAACTATAAAAATATTATTACTTTAAACAATTATATAAAAATAAATTAGTTTTTTATTATTAATAATATAAAGTATTTAAGTATGAATTGAAAAAAAAATATAAAACAAGAACAATTAAATTTTATCTTAAAATAGCAAATAGAACAAAAAAAATCTTTGAAAAGAAAGACTTTAATTATTTATTGTATAATATTAATATTATTTTATTTGATATTATAAGAATAAAAAAATTGAAAAAGAGTTTGAAATAAATATAAATTTTTATAAAAACTTAGTTTTCTTATAAAGAATACAAATATTATTATAGTAATATTAATTTTTTAATTTCATAATTTTATTTAATTTTTAATATAAATATTATATTATTATTATGTGATATTTTAATATTTAATATAAAATAAATCATATTATTTAAAGTATATTTCTATTGAATAACTAATAAATATATGATTTATAAATTATTATCTCTTTTAATTTATACTATTCATTCTATATTTTATATTATTTCAATTATATTTTATATTATTTTAATTATATTAATTAATTTTTAAAGACCAAATTAGTTTAATAGTAATTTATAATACTCAAGTAAAAATGTAAAATATTGAAATAAGTACTACAAAATAATTTATAAAATAAATTAATTCTAAATTAAAAGATTGAATTATTATAAATATAGCATGTATTTTAATTAAAAAAAAAAACAGATATATTCTTAAATAATCTTTAATTAACTTGATATTAATAAAGTTTTTTTGCTTTTATTTTTTAACAAATATAATAATTGATTTATTATATATTTGTTAGAAGAATTGATTACTTTGTATTTTTTTTAATTAATAATAAAGATTTTTGGTAAAGTAATAATTAAATAATAAAGAACTTAGTGTTTTATCCTTTATAAAATTCTTTAATAATACTTCAAGTTTTTTGTGAACTTATATTTTTCTCAAGTTTTTAGTGAACTTGTTAAATTTTTAATAAATCTTTTAGTACTTTGACTAATATATAAAATTATTTTATATTTTGCTTATTTTTTCATGCTTTTTTTATATAAATATAATTATTACTTATTATAAAGATCTTTATCTATAATAATAATAATATTTATAATTATTTAATTATATATTCATATTATTATTAATATTTAAAATATTTTAGAATATTTTTTTATAATTATTAATATTAAAAATATTTATTAAAAATATTAAAAATATCTAGAAAACATTTTGTATTTAAAGACATGTGAAAAATATTTATAATATTATTAAATGTCACTTAAATATTTAAGAAATATTTTAAAGATATTCAATAATATAAATAATATAATATAAATATTTAAGAGATATTTAAATAATAATTAATATAATAATAATTTATATTTAATATACTGTTCTTATTAATTTAAATTAATGAATTAACAAAATAACATAATAGTAAAAAAACAAAAATTGAATAATTTACAAATAATAGAATTTACTAAAAGTTCTAAAAATCTTCTGTGATAATTTGTATGCAAACTAACTAACTATTAATAATAAAGAATAGAAATAGATAGAAAAATAAAGTGAAATATAAAAAGAATTAAAAAAATTATTAAATAATTTAAAAATAAATAACAGAACTTATTGATAATATCTAATAAAATAAAATAATAATTGAACTTATTGAGATTATTAATTATAAAATATAAATTAAAATAACTAAAAATAATCAAATAGAACTTATTAATATAATCTAAAAATAATAAAACTAAAATAAATAAAAATAATAATAATAATATTAATAGTTTATTTAGAGTAGAAAAATATTTACTATTTGTAATTCTAAGATTTGAAGATAATTTACAAAAATAATAATATATTTACAAATAAAAACTTTGTTATTTTTATTAAATTAGAGAATTAAAGCATGAGAGTTTCTAGTGATAAGAGACTCTTCTTTTATATATTTTTAATCTTTTATATAATTAATAATTATTTTAAATTATATCACTATTTATAAATAATATCAATAATACAAAAGAAGAGTAAATTATACAAATTTATTAACAAGCAAATACAAAAGAAAATTAGTTACAATTTTAGTGATTAAAGACAAGAAAAAGCAAGTATTATAAAGAAAAAATAATAATATAAATTTAATTATAAACAATTATAACAAAGAAATTAAGAGATAAAAAGAATAATTATAACAAGAATAAAAAATAAAATAAAATAAATATAAGAATAATTGGTTAAAAATAATGAAATTAAAGATAAAAATAAATGTGATAGAGTTATAGATAAGATAAATCAATAGTAAAAATATAAATTTTAGAGTAAAAAATACAAAAATAAATGAATTTAATAAAATAGTAAAAGAAAATAAAACAAAAAGTATACAAAAATGTAATTATTATTAGGTATTATGATTTAGATATTAAAAAAATAAAAATATATATTAAATATAACTATATAATATAAAAATAAAAAGACAAATTAATTTAATTATTATTGAGTTATATTAAGTTATATTAATTTACTTTGTAATATATCTTAATTTTTGTTGATTAAAAATTAAGTAATTATAAAATTTTTTATAGAAATGATAATAATACCAAGTTAAATTTGTATATAGAAATATTTTTGAATCTCAGAAAACAATATGCTCTACTTAATAAAAGTACCAGCCTGTAAAATAACTTATTTGCTAACAAATCTTTTTATTTGATTAATTTTAAATCTTGTATACAAGTAGTAAAAGTTCTCTACTCTAAATAAGTTATATTTTTAGTATTTTTGTTATAAATAGTCCCAATAAATCCTATTTATTTTTGTTTTGTTAAAGATAATCTTAATAAGTTTTTTAATTATTTAATTTAATAAATTCTTTCTTTAATTTTGATCAGTTTGTATACAAGCTATTACAAGAAATCTTTAAAACTCTTAAAATATCTCTTTAATTATAAATTATTTAGTTTAATTTACCTACTAATTATCACAATTATCCTTTAATTACGTGAAGTTTTAGAAAAATATAAAAATATATTATATATTAAAAAATCTTTCCTTATGATCAATATTAAGTCAAGTTATTTTTTTTAATTTTATCTATTCAAAATATTTTTTTGCATTTAATAAAAAACTGTAATGTTTTGATATAAAATATATAAAAGAAAATATTGGAAGAAATTTAAAAAATGTTAACAATTTAAAAATACAAATATATTCTATACAAAACAAAATTAAATTTTTTGCTTAGTGAATAAATATATAGAAGATAATTTTCTTTCTTATACTAATTGCAACATGAATCCAGACAAGAAGTCTTATAGAAACTAGTTGATCTTAAAGATATTTGAATCTTAAGATTCTATTTAACATGATTTGTTTAACAATATAACACAAAATACTGATGAAAAATTCAATAATTTTAGTTGTTATAAGATAAAAAAAATCATTTATTTTCAATATATAAACAGAATATAAAGAAATCAGAGATATGTATAACAACAGGATGCAAAACCAGCAATATCATTATGAAACATCCCAATAAATATAAGAAAAAGTAATTGAAACATTTTGCAAAAAAACCAAGATATACAGAAGAAAATACAATTACTTTACCAATTTAACCATATGAAGAACAATGTTATTTACAATAATTATAAGATTTATAATCAATTTATAATGAAAAAATTTCTCATTTATACCAGCTCATTTTTTTTGGATATATACCAATTACCAATTGCTATATTATTATTATTAAAATTTGTTGACTTATCATTACGAAGTGTGTGTCCTGAAAGTGTCAGATGTAATAAAGCAAATGCTGTTAGTAAGCATCTTAGTTATGAAGCTAAAACTATATCATATCCGTAACTCCCTGTAAAGAACATAGAATAAACCTTTGAAGAAACAGTTTTATTGAATGTACAGTCAAACCTCGATATAACGAAACCTGGATAGAACGAAATCCTTGATATAACGAAAGAAAAAAAGACCTTTTATTTTAAAATTACCTCTATATAGCGAAGTTTCATAAGGAAACTCGATATAACGAAAAAAATTTCCAGCTCAAGAGGTTCGTTATATCGAGGTTCGACTGTATATAGAAGCCAGATCCACAAATAAGTTTATATAGAACGTTAAGTATTAGTTACTTTGAATTTCTATACTTTGATATGTAAAGCATTTTGGAGACGCAGTTTAGGTGACATTTCCCCTGACATATTCAATTCTTATGGGGATTTTACATTGAAAAAATTAACGTTAATGTTAATGTCGAATATCTATTATTACAAATAGTTATCGAGTACCTAGCATCCTTGTCCAGATTATGACAAGAAATCAATTTCTTTTATTACAAATATATATTACAAATTTTCAAAAAAATAAATACATTGGTTTGTCAAAAATGATAATGATATACAAAAAAAGTAGTCTATAAATAATGAGTTAATGAATATAAACAATAAATGAATAATTAATTGTTAAAAATAAATAAATGAATTAGATAAATAAATTAATTGTTATAAGCAAATAAATAAATTAATAAAAAAAATGAATAATAAATTAAATTAATTCGATCTATTAAATCTAAAAATCATTTTCATCGTCATTGTTGATGTCTTCATCTGCTTTTTCTGACCCGTTTGAATCACTTATAGTACCCAAATTCAACAAAGTTTTTCCTGTCTCACGAGCTTCGCGTTGCACTCGCATAGCTTCAGTCTCAACTGGCAACTCAGGTTTTTCACCCGGAACGAAACTCAATAAAGGTTTAAAATCTTTATTTCGTAAATTAAGTGTATGTTTTGCGTCAGGCGAAAGATCCAATTGAAGCAATTTTTTCCCTGGTGATGGGGATGTTGAGGGAGACGTGATTTTTGGTCCGTTTCGAGTTGGAGGTGAACCAATCGATATCAATGGCCCATTCGAAAATTTTCTTTCGGGTCGAGGTCTCAAATTAGATGAATGTGAAGAACCCTCGAAAGAATCTTTGGATGGCGACAATAAACCTCGAGCTAGCAAGGATCCTCTATTAAATTCTGGTGTTTGTGAATGCGATATTTCAAAAGTGTCTTTCCCGTTGGGTGTTAGTAGGCCTCTCGCTAGTAATGAACCTTTGTTATATTCGGGTGTGTGTGGTAAAGTCATTTCAAAATTATCTTTATTCGCCGGAGAAAATGTTCCTCTGGTCGCCAATAATGATCCCTTATGAAATTTTAACTCGTCGTCAATGTTTACAAGTGTATTATTAGATGAAACATTATCGACGTGATCTCTGTTGCCTCTACTCTCGAGCAAAGACCCCTTATGAAATCTTACATCGTCATCAATATGCACTAATGTCCCATTACTTTCTCCATGATCTCTATCTCCATGATCTCTATTTACTTTTACTTCGAGCAAGGATCCTTTATGGAATTTTACGTCGTCATTAATTTGTACCAAAGTGCCGCCGCCATTACTATTAACTTTTTCTTTTTCTTTATAATTTTCAAAAAATGCTTCAGTTGTGGCTAATAAAGAACCTTCGGCGAAACTTGTGACTTCTGTTTCAACTGTTTTTAAGGGTGGATTGTGTCTTTCATAGTCCAATAAGGATCCACTTTTAAAAACTCCCAGGTCACCTTTTTCTTCATCTGATGTAGCAGTAGTAGTGGTGGTGATCATTGTTGTTGCTGGGGGTGATGGATTATCCGTAAAGTCAAGCAATTGCTTCCCGGTTGACCCTTTTGCCGGTGGACGGACATGACGACGCACATTGGCCCATTGTTCTGTAGACGAGAAACCTGAATTTTTTTCAGTGTTTTTATCTCCAATGTCCAATTCATCTCCCGGTAAAGTCACAAGAGAATGAAGAATTTTTGATGATAGTTTGGGTGAGGTTGGTGATGTCTGTTCTCCGGTTATAGCTGAAAATAATTCCGGATTATTCTCCAACATCATTTGATTCTATAAAAGAATTTTAATTTTTTTATCGAATTTCTTCTCAATAAGTTGAGTACAAATTGAAAAAAATCATTAAACTTACTCTTGCATTTCTTATACTTAAAACCCAATCTTTCATTTTCTCCTTATGATCAGCACATAAGTAATGTACATAATCTTCAGGATTTTCAAACATCGCAACTCGATCAAGGGATTTCAACGCAAATACAAATGGTTTAGGTGCTTTTTTCATTGTTCGTGTCAATGTGTATACATCAAAATTGGATATAGTACAAAGCAATATTGGATCTACCCCCTGAAAATTGTTTAGCACATGATTAATTATTAAAGCTTAATCAATAATAAAAAAGAATAACATATGCTCAATCAATACCTTTGCATCTTTACAATGGTAAATTGAGCCATCTTTTAAAAAGAAATATCGCTTCTGCCATTTGTTTTTTTTAGTCTCCAAGTGTAACCATCCAAATAAAGGTGGCACTCCATTACTCAAGCCCTATTTAATCAAATATATATTTAAATCGGTGAATAAGTTATAGATTTTGTTAATTAGGAAATAATTACAATTACGAATCACAAACCTCGACTGTCAAGGAATCTCTGTAAGCGTATTTCTTTAGAAGCAATGCATTAGACATTTTTGGTTCCCAACTTCCAATCACTGTTGTAACAATTTCCCAATCCCTTAGCGGTCGTTCTAAACAATCATATTAAAATTTACGAATTATGAAAATATATGAGAAAAATTACAATAAAAAAAAAATTACCTAAACCGAATTCATTAACCAATTCGAAAATTGTCCATTCATTTCCCTCTTCTACAGCATTTCGTTTTCTGAAATATTCGATTATGTTTAGGGCGTTCATTTTTGAAGTTAGAGCAAGAGTTTTGAATTGTCGAGAATCATCAATATATATTCGCGTGGTAATCTATCGTAATATAAAAATTAAATGTTAGAAAATATTAGTTATTTACTAAATACGATTTTTAATGCTTACCTTTACTTCTGGCAGTTTGGGTTCTTCCTTTTCATTTTTTACATCGCCAGTTTTGGACTATGAAAAACATAAATTGGTAATTAAATTAAAAGAAAAACCAATCATAATATCAATTTGTGTCAATTAATACCTTGTCACGACGAGATTTTGCACGATCAAGCTGTTTTGATTTTTCTGTTTCATCTTGTCCACGTACTTTTAGTCGCTCTAAATGTAAATCTCGCTCTTTTTCAAAATCAATGTCCATTTCCCTTTCCCTAGAAATGGCTCTTTCTCGGTTTGTTGATTTAGATCTACCTCTTCGTTCCTCCGTTTCTCGAGGTTTAGATCTAGAACGACCTCTTTCTTCGGTTTCACGTGGCCGTGACTTTGATCTGCCACGATCATTCGAAATATTATCAGGAACTCGCTTCGATCTGCCACGGTCATCTGTATCACGAGAACGAGTATTTGCTCGCTCTAAAGTGCTTACTTTTTCTTTATCAAAATCCGTTTCCGTTTCCCGTGTTCGGGATTTAGCTCGTTCTCTGTTGTTTTCGAGTTCACGTGTTCTAGATTTTGCTCGCTCGCGCGTCCTTGATTTTGCACGCTCCCGATCTTCAAGTTCTTTTTCGGTCGTTTTGTATTTTTCCCTACCTTTGCCAGAAGCTTTACGAGAAAGTCGCCTTCCAAGCATGTTTTTATTATCTGAAGAATCATATGTTTCTTGTGTATTATTAGGGAATGTTCTTTCAATGGATTTTTCTTTTGTTCTTTCGCGTCCTTTTTCTCTCTCCCTTGCTTTTTCTCTTTCTCTATTTCTTTCCCTATCTACTTCTAATTCTCTTTCCCTCGTCCTTGATTTGGATCTTCCTTGTATTTCTGTATCACGTCCTCGAGTTTTAGATCTTTGAAGTAAATTCTCATCTGATTCTCGATCTCGATGATTATTATACCTGCTATTCTCCTTGTCAACTAATGATATCTCGCAAGATTTTGAATGTGCACGATCTGGAGATTTAATCCTTTCATTTAAATCTCGATCTCGTTGATTAGTATCCAGATACTCTTTTGGTAATGATGGTGTGGGTGGTGGTGCACCATTTTTCGAAGATGAAGATGATGCTGAAGATGAAGATGAAGTTTTCGCTTTAGCTAATCCACGAGCAGTTGTTGGTCGACGTTTAATTTTGGATTGTTGTGTATTTAATGAATTAGGTGATGATAATGATGGAGGCGTGTGTTTTTCTAATGATTTACCAGATTTCGCTCTATTGCCACTTGATGCGGAACGCTTCAAGTTTTCACTTAGGTGAGATTTTACAGCCAAATCTGTCATGGATCTCTGCATTTTTAACGGCCGGCGTGATGTCATAGATAACGGATTATAATCACTATCACTATCTGTATCACTTTCTGTTTCCGAGTCAGAATTGTCTGAAGAATCAACGTCATCAATTTCGTCATCACTTTTCAATTGTGTTATTTGACGAGGGAGACTTCCAGATAGTGATGATGGTGATTTATTATGTCCTATTATTCCTGCTGCGTTATTAGTCACTACAGTATTTACAATGTCTTTTTGCAGCAAAGAATTTGATGAATTTTCCAATGATTGTCCCAAATCCGGGCTTATTATATCACGAAGAGAATCAATCCCACGTGGCGATAACGGTGAAATAGTGTTTGCTGATTTTGGCGATGACGCATTACTAGAATCTATCGTTCTACTACTATTTATAAACGAGGTCTGAAGTTTTGTCAGCGCAGGCGAAACAGAACGTTGCAATTTTCCACGTAAAGAATGAGGCGATGAAGCACTTGAACGTGAGGAAGTTTTTGCTGACGATGAGGGAATGTTTGATGGTTGTTTTTTGAGACTTGAGCCTATTTTTGCTACTTCTTCCTCTATGTCTTCTAATGACAGTAGGTCAGAGTCAGACTCGGAAGAGTTTTCGCCAGTCGGGGATGTTTGTGTATTGTTATTTGAGTTTCTGGACTCGTGGTTGTTGTTGATGTTGTGGTCGGTATCTTGTCGTTCTAGATCCTTTATATTTTCAATATTTTAAAGCAAAAATTAATTTTATTATTTGAACAACGAAGCTGTTCGTTATTAGTATAGTTTGAAAAAAAACTTCAAAACTATTATTCTTACAGCAGTAAGCTCCTCGACCTCTTGTTGCAATTCTCCGAGAATCCTATCCAAATCGTTATTCATCTCTTTTTATACAAAAATTAAAAAAAGCTTTTATTTCGGAGACTGAATTATAACCTTTTCTACCAAGTAATAACACGCAAGAAAGCTTATATCTTTGATAATGGACCAAGTAAAAAAATTAAGGAATTTTGAGGAATGAAAAGAATGACAGTTAATACTATGCCTAGTCTGATATTCTAATGAGAAAAGAATAAAATAATAATAAAAATAACGATAACGATAAAAATAATAACGATAATAAATAATAATTTCTCATAATTGGACTAGCCTAACAAATCTGCGTATAAGATTGCGATGCACATTCTATTTTGGAGAACGAGAACTCTAAACTCTTTGGGCAAACAATGTATTACAATGTTCGGTTGACATGGTTATTCCAACCATGTAGTGTATGAAAATTGCAGGCTTTATTGTTTGGTTGTTTTTGTTAGTAATAAATGAAAATCATGAGATTCCTATGATTATTGTTTATTATCAATTTATATTTTGTTATTCCGAATAGTATTTCTAGGATCATAATAGTAATATCGAAAATTAATTTCTATTATCAAGCAAGACTATTATTCCCTTTTAATTAAATGATTCTTATTGTTTCAACTTTTTTCCTTTTCTGCCACTTCATCCCATAAAGCATTAAGTATCTGCGATATTCTATTAACTCTATCCAAGATCTTATTTTTCTCCTGTTCAGGTTGCATTTTGGCGATCCATCGGTGCCAGCGATCAGGGTGAAACTTGATTTGTTCTTGACGGAGTATTCGACGGCGATCCAGTTCATTGATATTTGCGTCATCATTATCAAATAAAAATCCAATTATTTCTTCCTTTGATATTTTTCTTGTGTTGTCATCATCATCATCGTCATGATTACAATAAGGCCAAGGAATATTCTCTACTTTAATAGTGGAATATGCATCAACATCAAAGCTTTTCCACATGCTAAAATACAATTCTCGTTTCTTTTTTATCTTTTCCCGGTATCTGCGTTCCACTTTTTCACGACGTTTAAGCTCTCGTTCTTCCTCTCCAGCTAATATTCGAGCTCTTTCCCTTTCTCTCTTTTTCTCTTTTCGTTGTCTCGCTTCCTGACGGTCTCGCTCCTCTTTTATCTCTTGCGCGTTTTGTCTCTCGTACATTCCCTGGCGCATATACGCAGCATATTCATCTTCTGTCATTTGATGAAGCCCATCATGATCATTGATGTATGATTCACCCGTTTCCCATTGTTCAAAAAAATGTCCGGACCAGAATTGATCGCCTTCGTCGTACGCCATTTCTTCAAAGAGAAGATTAAACCATTCTTCTTTTTCGACCGAGTATTCGTCTTCAATGTTGTTTAGGTCTGACGCGAGACCTCTTCCTTTTTTATTATTTTGGTGTGAATGAGTACGAGAAGAGGATTTTTCTTTTTTCCGTCTCTGTTCTTTTTTACGTCGTTCATCTCTATGTGAAGACTTGGAAGACATTTTTACCAAAAATGATCTGTTAGCCAACAGATTTATATATACTAACGAAATGCACGTGGTTTATCCCACATCACGTTTCGCTGGATGACGATCAGTACAGATCGTAAGTAAGACTTTAATCACGTGATTTTTCCGGGCCAGTGCGGCGGGTCACGTGTAAATATACTAATAATGTGATATCACCTGATAGTGCATTCACAGGTTACACTTAGGGAAAAATTCCTTTTTTGACCTTTGAGCATATCGATATATGAATTTTTCCATGTTGTATAAATTTTTCCGGCACTGTCTCGGAAAAGGTCGCGTGATTTGGGAAGTGACAATATTAGCTAATATTCTAGGCAATTTGATTGGTTAGGACACTTGTCCCAACCAATCAAATTGCTGGATTCACTCCCTTACGCGTTTAAGATATCGGAATATATCGAATATATCGGTTGGGTCGTAATCACGTGCACAATACATTTTTTTCGTCATGACTAGGATACTATATCCGATATGCTTGATCTCCAAGTTTTGTATGGATATTTATGAAAATGGCGACAGATTATTTCTTTTCTGGAGACGCTTCCCAATTATCTCTTGAGAAGCTTAGGTCGTTAACGAATATTGAAGAAATCCAAGACTGTCTAAGAATTTTGGACCTGGAAGAAAACCAAGTTGACGTTGATCTCGATATACTGCTTGAAAGAAGGGGACAGTTGGAGGCAGAGTTGGATAAATTGGAAGCTTTGAGGTATAATTATGGGTTTTAAGACTTTTCCTATGTATATGTATATATATTTAATGGTACTTGCTTAGGCCACAACTTGGAGCATTATCTTTGCAAGCCACTAACCTCATGAGCATAATAAATGGGACTTCAAACGTAGCTGAAAGAATAAGTGCACAAGTCAGACAACTGGATTTAGAACAGTCGCGAGTCCAAGAAACCATCGAAGAGGTCGAAAATGTGCAAGAACTAAAATTATGCATCAACAGAATGCATTCAGCCATGCAAATTAGGGATTACGAAGCAGCAGCTAGTTACGTTCATCGTGCATCTGCATTAGATCCACGAATTCTCAATGGCGAATTTGCGGAAAATGCAGTCCCAACATCCGAATATCCCGATGTTCCCACAAAAATGCTTTCAGACGCGAAGACTAGCCTTTTTTCCGTGTTTTCTAAAGAATTCGAAGCTGCTGTGCAAAGCCGCGATGAAAATAATATTAGTCGTTTTTTTCGCCTGTTTCCCCTTATTGGTAAGGAGAAAGAGGGGCTTGATAAGTATTCAAAGTTTGTTTGCGGGATTATTGGTGGCAAGAGCCAAGCGAATATGTCTGATAATGGCAAGTTTTATTTGTTGTCATTGTTTGATTTTGTGATATAATCTTTTTTTTAAGAGTATTAATTTTTTAACATATTTAGCTATAAAACCCAATTTCTATGCTGACGCTCTCACAAAACTTTTTGAAAATATTGCTGTAATAATCGATCAACATCATCCTGTCGTTGAAACACATTATGGCGCGGGAAAGATGATTAGAGTGCTCGAAAGATTGCAAGAAGAATGCGATAAACAAAGTCGAATTATTCTTAATACTTTTGGAGATGAAAAACAATTAATGCGTAAGGTCTTTGTATAACATTTTATTTGCGCTGGAAAATTACCACGAATGATTATCTTTACAACGTAGGCTGATAGTAAATTACGAAAACTGGAAATAGGTTGCTGATATTCGCTCATACAATAATACTCCTAGACGTGTAATCGTCCCTCCTCATAGAACAGGAGGACAATCTAGAGAAATAACACCTGGACAATCAAGGGATATCGAAAATATGCCAGATACCAGAGAAATTGACGCTCTGTTAACCGAATTGGCTATGATTAGTCAACGAGCACATCTGTATTTTCGTTTTATGGAATCAAGAGTAAAGGTTGATATTTAAAAATAAATTCCATGTCTAACAAGAATTCAAAATAATGCATTGTTAATATAACAGTCGGAAGCAGAAGCGATGAAAATTAACGAGGTCGACGTTTCACTTGAAAAGTCTACCGACGACTACAATCCTAATAATTTTCTGAATAACAGTGGTCTCATGAAGCAAATCAAGCATTTGATCAGCGAATATTTTTTTATTGAAGAATATTTTCTGAGGAGAGCACTTGAACAGGTAACACATTAATTTTTCAATCTGTTCAATTGAAAAATTGCATTTCATTTCATCACGTTATATTTGTTTTGTTTAGGCAATTGAAATCGATAAAGTTGAAGAAGGCAACTCTACTTCGAGTTGCGTCGACGACGTATTTTATATACTGAAACGAAGTGCATTCAGGGCAGTGTCTACATCTAACGTTGATTGCATTGTCACCATGGTCAATGTAGTAAATCAATGTTTGGAAACGGAATTTATTAAAGTTCATCAGAAACGACTTGTTAGTGCTTTTACATCCAATGAAGCAAAGGATGCTAAACTTTCTTATATGGTATTTTTATCTTGCATCTTTGTCTCTTGTTCTCCTGTTACAAATATTATTTCTTTACAATATTATTTTGAATTCGTAGATTTTATTAAATAACTTGGATGTAAGTTGCGATTATATTCAACGTCTTGCATCTGAATTGCAACAAGACACTATTCGTACCTTGGCTCCATTACCGGAGGACCACGAAAATTGCCGCAAAGCACAAAAATCCCTGTCTTCGTTAAGTGAGTCGTCTACTAACAAATTCAAACAGATCTTACAGGTAATAATAATTTTTTATTAAGTAGTAACCTTGCAAATTAACTAAATTACTGTTCTTTGCCCCGAAAAGAGTGGATTAGAGCAGCTTTTTAAACAGTTGGTGAAACCACGAATACGACCTATTTTGCAAGAAGCATACAAAGATATAAAGTACGTGCTTAACGAGGATGAATATCATGATCAAGAATCGAATGATAATTTTGCTAAGCGGTTCGTCAATGGATTTGATTCTTTGTTACATATATATAAGGTTTATTATTTTTTCGGATGCTTTTTTTGAGAAGCTCATTTTTTATTTTTTAATATATGTATGTTAATATTGATATTATATATATAGGTACCTTTGACCGAGAACAACTACAATCAAATAATGATTCATCTTTTAGACTGTCTTTTATCTATGTGGGAAAAGACGATTCTCGTTACAAAGTTCAATCAAGTTAGTTCTTTTTAATTATGTCATAGCATATGAATTTTATCCATCTGTGAATGCTATAACAAAATACTATTACATTAACTTTAATATACAGCTAGGTGCATTGAGATTCGACAAAGATCTCCGCGCTGTTAGCAATTACTTCTCGTCGCGAATGCAATGGTCATTTCGAGATAAGTTTACGAGACTGAATCAGATTTCGACCTTACTTAATCTAGAAAGTGCAAGTATATTAACCAAATCATCGTGTATAGATAGTATTTAATAATTTGCTTTATCTAATGGATAATATATTTTTTTTACTTTAGCTCTTGGAAATACATGATTATTGGGGTTCCAGTACAAAATCCGGTAACCCGATTACATGGCGCCTTACTATCACAGAGGCTCGTAAAGTTTTGGGTCTAAGGTAATTAATTTGAAGTGCTCGTTAATTCAGTGATCTTTTTTTTCAATATTATTTTTTTTAATCGACCACCTTTTTGTAGAATTGAATTTAAAGCTGGAGACGTAGCGAATATCAAGTTGTGAACTTTTATATCGATCGAAAAAATATTTATATGCTCCCTGGTGCTTTTTCGCACTCTTTCCAAAAGAAGATCGAGTCAAAGGCATACTAAGAATCGAAAGTCGATTCAAATACGACTAAAATTCTATTGGAAAGTTAGAATTGTTGTTTATGATCATTACAATTTTCTAAGGCCAAGAGTAAAGTCAGTTGTAATTTTAGTCGACTGACAGAGATCAATGGATTCACGAATTCGGGATTTCCAACTTAGAGATGGATTCTCAATGTTTATCAGCGTTTGATTCTATTATAATTACTATTTGTATTAGACATTGCTTTCTTTAAAGTGAAATGGTACGAAATTATTCGATTTTAGTCAAGTAATCAATCATATCAGAATTAACATCCTCGTCGTGCTTTTGATGGACCGTTTGTCTTCCCTTCTACCGTAACAAGTTCAATAAGAGCTGAATAAGGAGCTGTTTGGAGGTAACAAAGAGTTGAATAAGTCACTTGCCTTTTCAACCTCTAACACCCAAGAAGCCACGGACACTCGGCCCACGAGTTAGCTCAAGCGAACATTTCTTGTTTGGACACTCGGCCTAGCCCAGTGATTCCATGACCACGTACACTCGGCACTATCCATTAGTTCAAAGCCTTTCAACACTCCTGGATCAGCCATGGAGTTCACTGGCACCATCTCCTAACTGCATGAAGTTACCAGAAATTTACTTTCCTAGTGTCAGCTAAGGTTGTGTGAGAATTGTGCTTAGTAATTGATGTTGGTTGTGGTTGCTTTTCGATTCAGTAGATGTCCCAATCGTTTAGTTTGTTAGGACCCTTGATCTGGCGTACCGTTAAAGCGGAGTAGTGTCCAGCCATGATTTGCGCCATTTTACATACATGTAATTATGGTGTAATGAATCACATATGTTAGTAATTGGTATGTTTGTTCGAGACACAAATAAGTTTGTTATGATTAAATTACAAGACACAAAGAATGACTTTGTTGTGATATAATACTATTATTAGTAATCTGAGACTTTTTTTTCTTTTCTTGAAATGAATTTGTTGGAAAATCTGGTATACAATGATTCTCTAGTAAATAATGAGCATTTTAGATTGAATGTGAGTATTCAGATGTTATTTTTCAACTAAATGATTCTCTTTTAAGTTGATTTGAAAGGAAAGTAATAATTAGTTTTATAAAAATTTTTTATAACATTTTCTTTAACAAGAATTATTTATTAATTATTTTTATTATTTTTATTATTATTTTATCTTTATTATTATCATCATTATTTTTGTCTTTATCATTGATTGTATTATTATCTCAATTATTTATATTATTTTTATTATTATCTTTATTACTAGTTCAATTATTTTCAATAAGTATTTTAATATATAAAATACATTTAAAGTTTTTGATAAAGAATTTGATAATGATTAATTAGTTTTAAACTTAATTTAATTTCTATAAACTTGTTAATAATTCATAAAAGATTTTATTTGTTATTGAAGATAAAATCACAATCATATAATACTTGTTTTTTATATTGCAACTTGTTACAATTAAAATTATAAGTTATAATATAATAATATTTTCTTTGTTATTATATTATGAAGAGTTATTTTTAATTATTTTACAAAATATTAAACTTAAATATACAACAAACCAAAAATATTTCAACTAAGAAATATAGAAAAATAATAATTTAAGTAGAATTTTTAATAAACTAAATTAAATTGAATCTTGGTTTAACTTTGATTCAACTAAAAAAAAAGTTAAGTCAAGTTAAGTTTTAGTAAACTATAACTCAATTCATTATAATCATATATAAGTAATTTTATTGATTTAAATTTTTATTATAGTATAAACTCTTTTTATTTCTTGCTTTTGATTTTTACTATTTCAAAAAATTCTAATATAGTAAGTTTTTGTTTTTCTTTAATCTTAAATTAATTTTTCTTGACTATTATATAACACTAATTACAATATTCCTGATCTTATTCAAAAAATTTCTCTTGAATTTGAATAGTATTGCTATAATAATTTCTAAAATTCATTAATTAAAGAATTTTTTAAAAATAGTAAAAAATATAAAAATTTTTAAAAATAATAGAAAAATATTAAATCGATAAAAATAGTTTATTTATTTATTACATAAATATCATATTATTAGAAAATTAATACTATTACCATTTTGATTGACTTTTGAAATACTCAAAGATATTTATAAATATTAAAGGAATATTTAAAGAGAACTTTCAATATCTTAATGACAATTCAAAGTATTAATAATATTTTATAACTATTAGATTGAATGTGAATAAGTACTAAAAGTACTAATAATAGAATTACTTAAAGATTGGTAACAGTTATGTTTTTCTAAATGCAATAATTTGAACTGTTAAAAAGAGTTCTCAAAATCTCAGATAAAGATGATTGCCAAAATTATTTTTAAAAACTGAAATATTTAGTTTCAAAACTAAATTAACAAATTAAAACTGAATTGTCAAATTAAAACTAAATTATTGAATTAAAATCAAATTGATCAAATTGACGAATTAAACTGAATTGCCAAATTAAAATCAAATTAACTGAATTGATAAATTAAAACTGAATTGCTGAATTAAAACTGAATTGCCAAATTAAAACTGAATTGATTAAATTAATGAATTAAAACTGAATTGCTGAATTAAAACTGAATTGATTGAATTGATGAATTAAAACCAAATTACTGAATTAAAACTGAATTGCCAAATTAAAACTGAATTGACCGAATTGACGAATTAAAACTAAATTGCCAAATTAAAATTGAATTAACTGAATTGATGAATTAAAACTGAATTAACAAATTAAAACTGAATTAACCAAATTGACAAATTAAAACTAAATTGTCAAATTAAAACCAAATTAACAAATTAAAACTAAATTAATCAAATTGACAAATTAAAATCAAATTAACAAATTAAAACTGAATTAACCAAATTGACAAATTAAAATCAAATTGCCAAATTAAAACCAAATTGACAAATTAAAATCAAATTGACTAAATTGCCAAATTAAAACTGAATTGACCAAATCGATAAATTAAAGCTAAATTGCTAAATTAAAACCAAATTAATAAATTAAAACTTAATTAACTGAATTAATGAATTAAAATCAAATTGCCAAATTAAAATCAAATTAACAAATTAAAATCAAATTGATCAAATTAATGAGTTAAAACTAAATTGCTAAATTAAAATTGAATTAATTGAATTAAAATTAAATTGTCAAATTAAAACCAAACTGTTGAATTATTAAATTAAATTAAATTATTAAATTAAAATTAACACTTTAAATATTAATACTAATATATCAGTTTATATCAAAATAAATTTATATAACAATTA